TTGCGTCCGCACCTCGCTCAGCCAGTGAGCGGGAACTGGTCTGTATGTGGGATCTGAACCCTCAGCGGGAGCGCCATCGCATTCCCAAGCGGTGCACTGTAGCAGTGCGCCACCGGGCCGGCCCTTAAATGTATTGTTTTTAAAAACCCAGAATAAAAAAAACATAGAGACCCAAATGCAAATAAACTTGTGTATTTAACATATTAGAGGTAAAAGTACTTTGAAGACATCCCCATTTATCATTGCATGTTTTAGGAGGCAAAGAAGCAAGTGTGTGCATTGATCCTAATGTTGTGGAAGGAGAGACTATGATATGGGAAGGTTAAGTCACTTTTCCAAGGTGGGAAAAGGAATCCAAAGTATATGTTAAATGCCTCAGCATATGGGGCTTGTTTGTCAGACAAGTACTTAAATTTGTTCAGTAAATAGTACCAGATAACCTGCACAGGAGGAGGAAAGTAGAAAGGGTAATTTGAATCTCAGTTCACACCAGGACAGCCTAATTTCCTCCAACATGTCCCATGTCTCAATGTGAAGTAGTCTAAATAAAACACCAGAGAAGTAATTTCAGCTCTCAGGCATGAAATCCACCACTTCAGCTCTCAGCTCTAGAAGGAGATGTCTACTTACAGCCCTAAAGGGGTTAGGATGAAATCCCCATTTATCTCAAGGCTTAGACAGCTGTGTTATTCATCATTCTGGCTGCCTTCAGTTAAAAAGAACCCATGATTCAGTCTAAGGGTTTTGAGGAAACAAGGGAGCTTAGCCTGGCAAAAAGGGAAATTATTTATGAGTCAGGGGAGAGGTGGCATAAGTGTGAGGAAAATGGAGTTAGCTTAGTGAGGCCTTCTAACCTCATATCTGGCTGGGTATGATTCAGCACATCCATTGTAAACAAGTGATGTAAGAGTTAGTGTGCATGCATGCACATGTACCCCTTGGCTCATTGCTGCTATTGTGTACTTTTTGGTATGGAAGGCAGTAGCTCTGAATCACTGGTTGGCAGAGCTCGTGTCTAGAATAAAGCATGTCCACTTTGCCAGGGGCTACTCAGTTTTTCTTTCAACTACCTGGCTCAGGGCCTGCACAGGACGGGGTAGAGGGTTCTGTGACCCAGCACTACAATTGGCATAGTTGGCAGGATTCCAAGCAGGTAAGGGAGCCACTCGCCCCTCAGGAGGTGGAGAAAATGTGGCTACCCTTGAGTCTGTGGTACCTGGCAGCCACTTTCCTGTTGACTGGGGTCTGGTTGTTGCTCACTGTACTGTGAGTCAACATGGACCAGATACTCTGTGAAGCAACACAGCTTCGAGATTTGCAGCAGAAAGCAGACTTGTTGGAAGCGTGGGTACTTGTTCTGAAGGGTGAAGTACAGCAACAGGTCACTCCTGCTTTCAACACCAGGGATGATGTTGAACCCGATGGTGAGTTAAGGGAGGCTGTGAGTCCCCTGGAATGACCTGTTGTGCATCAGAGACTAAAGCATGAACAGCCCATCGGACAAGGCAGGCAATCATTAGGCAATTCACAAGTGACCCAAGTGAGTAGTGATACTTACTTCCCCTATATTCAAGCTGTGTTGGTGGAACTGGGGAAACAGTTTTTCTAGAAACAGGGTGAACCCCTAGCTGCTTGGCTTTTGCAGCTGTGGGACCTAGGGGTGGATGGCATGATGTGCTCTGGTGAGGAAATGGAAAAGTTGGCTTCCATCACCATGCAGCCGTCCATGTGGCAGTGGTTACAGAACAGCCACAGATATGCACTGGGACAGGATAACCACTCCTTGATGGAATGGGTGAGTGCAGCTGTCCGGACCATGTGGACAAATGCTGGAGAATTGCCTGAAACCATGAGTAAATGGCAAATGTAAGCTGAGCTGGTCCAAGTGATTCAGGAGCTAGAGATGTGACAGTCCATGTTTAATGTGAACACCCATGGCCCAGATGATGAACACTTTACTGGAAGCATGGGAATTGTAGTGGTGCAAAATGCCCCATCAACATCCTTTGGGTCACTGATGGCCATACTGGCTTCATACACTGGTCGTCCCATACATGAAATGACAACCATGATGACCAGTCTGGGTGAAGCAGAGGGGAGGAGACAGACAAAAGGGGTCCAAAAGGTGGTGAAGACTAAACCCCCAAGAAGTGCTTAGGATTTTACCCCAAAGGGACTGAGTAAGAACAGCCATATGCAGATGTGGTTTGACTTGCTTACGGCAGGGGTTGATAGGGAAAAAATCGACCAGCAACCAAATGCGGTCTTGTTTGCCTTGTGGCAACAATTGCGCCCCAAACAGTGTAATACCACACTTCCCCAAGCAGCTCATAACAAGGTACACCCAGTGTATTTGAAGGATTTTATGGTTACTTCCATGGAGGTGGATGGACTGTTCTCTTTTGGCTGGAGACCAGGCTGAGGTGCTCATCTTTTCTGGGCAGATGAGGACTGGAGGCTTCATGATGAATTGGCAATACATTGGTCTGTGACAAATGTACAGTGTGTATAAGCATTGGTGGACACCAGCCTAGACTTTAGCCTGATACATGGCAACCCAGATAAGTTTCCAGGGGCCACAGTGAATGTTGATGGCTATGGAGGACATTCTATTACAGTCAAAGCTGTGTCTTTGCCATTGAGCATTGTACGATTGTCCCCTCATGTATATACTGTGTATGTATCTCCTGTAGCCAAATACATTTTGGGTATAGATGTACTCTATGATTTGCTCTTGCAAATGACAGTTGGAGAATTCCAGCTGTGGATATGGACAGTAAAGCCTGTGTTGCGGGGACATGCTAAACATGACCCACAGGTATTACCCGAGACAAGGTGTGTGGTCAATGTGAAACAGTATTGCTTGCTGGGAGGACATGCACAGATAGGTGCCACTATATTGGAGTTAGAAAAGGTTGGCATTATTCGTCCTGCACATAGCCCCTTTAATGCCCCAGTATGGCCAGTGAAAAAATCTGATGATGCCTGGAGGATGACTGTAGACTATCAGGAACTGAACAAAGTAGTGCCTCTTTTACATGCAGCTGTGCCTTTCATTCACAACTTGATGGATCAGCTAAGAACTTATCATTATGTACTGGATCTCACAAATGCTTTTTTTTCTATCCCAATCTTGGCTGATGGCCAAGATCAGTTTGCCTTCACCTGGGAAGGAAGGCAATGGACTTTTCAAATGTTGCCCCAAGGCTACTTGCATAGCCCAACCATCTGTCATGGTTTAGTGGCTGGAGAACTAGCCAAGTGGACCAGGCCCAGCACAGCTACAATGTTTCATTATATAGATGATGTCTTACTAACCTCTGATTTTCTTGCAGATTTAACCAAGGCATTCTCCAATGCTGCTAGGCCATTTGGAACAGTGTGAGTGGGCCATATATAAAGGTCTTACCCTTTGGATATCTACTTGGAAATATCAACGGTGGATGGTAGGCCATGAACCCTTATGGGGACAAGCCATGTGGCAGGAATTATGGGATTTAGGACAGGAAAAGGAAGTAACTCTTTTCCATGTCACAGGACACTTCCTCTTAGCCAGTCCAGGCAATGATGAAGGTGATGTGCTGGCCAAGGTAAGGTGGCTGGAGATAGCTCCAGCAGCTGATGTAGTTGGGTGGCTACATCAAAGTATGCAGCATGCTGGCTGCAAGACTGTGTGGTCAGTGGCCTGCCAGGTGCCACATTAAACCCAAGAAAGAATGCCCCTGATAAGCGGATGTGCTCCTAATAAGCAGACGGGTGCCCCTGATGGGCAGATAATCTGTGTGAGAGTTCCCCTGACATGGCGGCAGGTGGATCTTGTGGGACCACTGCCAAAGTCAGAGTTACTGGTCTTCTGTTTGTATGGCCTTGTGCGGCCCCAGACGAAGTAAGCACTGTGAAGGCATTGAGTAGCCTTATGGCCATGTGCGGTTGACTTCTGGTCATAGAGAGTGATAATGGAACTCACTTTACTGGACATGAAGTACAGAAGTGGGCTTCTTAGTTGTCCATTCAGTGGAAGTTACATGTGCCATATCATCCCCAGGCAGTGGGAATGATTGAATGGTATAGTGGTCTTCTGAAAAAGGGACTAAGGCTATCTGCCCAAGTCCTATCCCTGAAGGGGTGGACATGGAAGTTATGGCCGACAGTCAGGATCTTAAATGAGAGACCCTGCAAGGGTGGGTCCTCTCCAGTGGAGGCTCTGTTGCATAGAGCCACAGCACCTGCTCCTGCAACCATTCTTTCCAGGATGGTAAGCTGGCATGAATTCTGCCAGAAGGATGAGAACTCCCTCTATTGGTGTCAATAACTTTTTGTCTTTTTGCCCATAGTATTGTGACTGCGGGCACCAGAGCTGAATGGACACGTACATAGGTTCATGTGGCCAATGTGTCGGCTTGCTGAATATGCACTGAGTTTCCTACCAGTGTGGCTGCAGGATTCCTGTAGAAAATCACCCCAATGACAACTACTAACCAGATGTGTATGGATGGGGTTTTTGTGGCTAATAGTTGAAAGGATAGAGCTACGGGGACAAGCCTCAAGTTGTATAGAGTGTACAATAAGTACAGAGGTTATATGGATGCAAGGGTCAGCCATCCTCACTAAGGGAACATCACAGAAGATCTCAAACATATGGATTGTACAATGAGAGACTCTGAAGGGGTGGGGTGTGAGGAAAATGTGAGTTAGTTTAGTCAGGCCCTCTTGTCTCATATCCAGCTGGTATGATTCAGTACATCTGTTATAAACAAGTGACATAGGAGTAGAGTTAGTGCGCATGCATGCCCATGTATCCCTTGGCTTGTTGCCGCTATTGTGTACTTTTTGGTATGAAAGGCAGCAGCTCTGAACCACTGGTTGGCAGAGCTCATGTCTGGAATAAAGCATGTCCACTTTGCCAGCAGATACTTGGTTTTTCTTTCAACTACCTGGCTCAGGACCTGCACAGGATGGGGTAGAGGGGTCTGTGACCCAGCACTACAACAAGGAAAAAGTATGGGGATATAAAAGTCATTTCTCTTGCTACTCCAGAGTTTGATAGAGAGACAATCTGGGTATCTCTGAACCCATGACCTGGGGATATCTCCTTCTCCCTTAGTTTAGTGATAAGAAACTAGGTCCTTACCTCTATAAAACCAGTGTTCATCTTTCAACACCAGGTGGCCCCTTGCATTGCACTCTGCTTCAGATGACTCTGGTTCCTGCTCTCTAGATATAGCTCTATGATTTGGCCTCTGGATTTGGGACAGAATAGGAGTAGGCCTGCTGGAAGAACTGGCCATTAAATGTAACTGCTGTAGCAGCCACAACAACTAGCACAGATGGAGGAAAGTAGATAAACATTGAGTGAGTCTAGGATTATGCAGAGATGAATGGGAGCAGGGGGAGGTTGAAAAGGAGGACTAAGAGGGAAGGCAGTTCAGTGGCCTAGCCACTGGCTGGCGGAGAACCAGTGGAGACAGGCTAGAGTGTCAAGCTTTCATCACGGCCTTTCCCCCCAGTCTTCCAAAAACAAAAATGTATGTGTGTGATGGGGAGGTGAGGGGGGATGTTGTGTGTTTTGGTGGGGGAGGAAGAGTATAGAATGAGAGTTCTAAAGGTCATCATCTTTGGAGGGCCGAGAAAACACTGATGCCTAGGTTCTCTCCTAGGTTTGAAGTGCTTAAGAAAATGTCAGTAACCTAGTGGATATTTAGCAGGGGAGGTGGTCAGCCCCATACTCTTCCTTTCACTGGGCTGTGGGGTGGTGGCACATTGCCTCTGGGTCAGATATTGGACCTACCTACCTTAGAAGTTGCCAAATCTTTGCCTCAGAGCTTGACACTTCTCCCTGCCCAGCTGCACAGCCCTTTAATAGCAGCAGTTTCCCAACAGTACTTATGGAGGGCAGAAGGCCCCACCTCCTTGCTCTTCTGATGGTCCAAATCAAGCGTGCAGACTGGACTGAATGTGCTCTTAGTGATGGGTAAAAGGAACCACGTGCACAGAACTTATTTCCATTGGCTGCTCCCTGCTGGCATGTTGCCTCAGTCCTCCAACCTCTGTTGGGTGTATTGGTTGGGACCCGGGTGTCAAACCTACAGTTCTGCCTCCTGCCCTAACATCTTCTTTAAAACCTATGCTGCCAATGAGAAGATGGCAGTGAGCAACCTGAAAGAGGGCCCTACCCAGAACCCAACCATGCTGGCACCCTAATCTCAGACTTCCAGGTTCCAGAACTGTGAGAGATTCATTGCTGTTGTGTATAAGCCACCCCGTGTGTGGTACTTTGTTGTAGCAGCCTGAATGGACTAAGACAGATGGTCTGGTTTAAAGTGATGTGGGGGCATCAAAAGTTTGAGAGACTAGATCCACAGAACCAGAATCTGTGGTTGTGTTGGCAGAGGAAGTGTTTCCTGCATTTGGACACTGTCAGCAC